AAAAAAAAAAAAAAAAAAAAAAAAAAAAAAAAAAAGGCAACATTAGAAGTAACTTATAGTTAAGTCTGCAAGTGAGTGATGTACAGGATTAACACAATCAGATTACATGATCACATATAGTTTACTTCTTCAGGATTCTGGCATCACTCTTTTTACAGGCTACAAAGCATATGAAATTAGTTTGCATACAGAATATGAGTGGCAGGAGGTGGCCTGGCTGAACCAAATCAAGTCATAATTGGAGATAAAAAGGTCAGATTTTAAATGAATACACAGGTCTAGACTACTCTTAAGTCCCAACTGGAACTGATAAAGCTGGGTTCTGATGGAGATTTCTTTCCTGATTTGGGAAGGTCACTGGATCTCAGTTCCTCATCCAGTAAATAGGTATAATACTTCCAGTACATTAATTCAGATCTGTGAGACTTTCAAGTATGCCAAAAAGGGCTTGCAGGAAAAGAATGCAGTTTTTATTAATGGAAGAATTTGCAACATGCAGGGTTTCAGAGGGACTGTGCAGTGAACAGCAATGACAAAAATTAAGCAGCTGCCTCATTCACTGGATGCTATCTGTCATGCACCCTGATCTATCAGGGACCCCTTGGGAGGAAAAAATGTCATGTAACTAAATACTCTGGACAGTTTTGCTTTCAATTACACGAGTGTTCACACTGAATATCTATGTACTTGAGACAGAAATCTGGCCTTGCAAGGCATATATTTAACAAGGAAGAACCAAGGGTATATAGGCAGTCTTGATTTTTGTTACCCAATTAGTAGCACATTTCATACTCCCTATATTCTCACAATTTAAAGGGTAAATGAAATGATATAGGTGTTTAAGTTGGAACATAAAAGAAAGCAACAATCTCAGTGTGGACTGCTATTTGCTGAACTGCAGCAGATCATTTGAAACAGATGTGACCAGTGAAACCACACTCATTTCACCCTTCAGACACGCTTATGTAGATCAAAACACACAAGCTCACTCACATCAGAAAGAAATGCCATGAAAGAGTATGGCTTTGGAGTAGGGGTTAGGGGAAAGCAGCAAAGAAGGCAGAATTCCCCTCTGCTCTTCCTACTACTACTGTTTTTTCTACCATAAAATTTACATGTGATGAAGTATTCAGGAAGAAGAAACACCCCATGTTTCAGTCAAGTAGAAAAATTTCTGAGACATTGATAATAATTGTAAATAGTAATATAATAGCAATGACTGCATATCGTTTTTTGTTTTGGCCTTATATTTTAAGTTACAGGTAGGCATTAGAGAAGAGAATCTCTTACTCATGTAAACAGATGCAAATACATGCATACACACACAAATACGCAGAAACATTGCTTTTTTTATATAAGCACAAACTAGTAGAAAGAAGAATTTTTAAGAAATTTAGCTCAACTAACTTATAAACTGAGAAAAATTAATAGAACTGCAGCAGTAACACCTCTACCTTAAGCTCTGTTTCAGAAGCCTGAGGCACAATACAATTCTCCTTTCCTTAAGGGGACAGTTAAACTTTGGATTTCTCCAATTTAACTGCATCAACCCAGTCAATGCCTCAATTTTCTTAAATTTACCTCAATGCCTGACCCAAAGATTTACCATCTTTCTTCAGACTTGCACACTACAGAGCAAACTCATTCATCTTCCGTGTCTGCTTTCTTAGGAGAGAGTACAAATTACTTCAGAGAGTTCGGGAAAAAAAGGAAGATAAATATTTTACAGGGATGAAACATCCATGTGGGAGACATGGCAGGTCAAGAGGCAGGCAGTCAAAGAAAGAGGAGGTACAAGACTAGGAAAAGGAGATAAATGTTTCAGGTTTAAACCGAATATAAACTGACAGCTAAAGAAGAAAAGTCAACCATTCCCAAAAGACCTCAGTTTAGCTTAGTCTTATCTATTCTAATAGTTGTGAATTCTCACATAAAGTCTCCATGCCAGGTCTGTACCACTGGAGAACTACTCTTTTCTCAAATTCTTGACACATTTGGTTATAAGAAGGAAAATAAGTTGGCAGCATGAAGGAAAGCAACCTTATGTAATTAGACCATGTATTACAGTCTTTATTTTAGTGGGGAGAGGAGTATCTTCCATTAGGTAAATGAAATTAAAAACGAAGTAATCTGAGTTCCCTGATGCTTGCTATTTTGATCAAATACACATGAAGCAATACTGTCATAGCCGAGATTGTCTAGGAATCCATATGGTCTAAAAGAAAACAAATATTTTTATTAGACCAAGTGACAGAGTTGGAAAGAAACAAGCTTTCAGGTACAGAAACTCTTCAGCAGATTAAGAAGCTGTATGCTTAATAGTATTCTATTACTGCAATGTTCATTCACCAGAGAGCATACAGAATTTGTTACTTTACCATGCATAGCATTGCTTTCTTTATCATGCTTTTTAATGTCTGTTTTACATCACCAGGGAACCATCCCCAAACTACTTGTCACTTCTACACACATAGTTGTTGTCATCTGTTCTCTCCCAGGTGCAATCTGAATACATCTAAAGACCCTTTTTGCCTATCAGCTCTAAAATCCATATCTAAGTTCTTTTTTCATGCTTTAGCCATTGAAACATTCTCCTTTCTGACCTTAGATGCAGTCCTGCCTGCTCACTATCCAATGTGAATGCTGCTGTTAATGATGCTCTTTTCAACCACAAATCTTCCATCTCTGGACTCTCTAAGCTGCTTTTCTTTTTACTACATTGAAGAACAACAAAAATCATTCTCATTTTCCAAAACGTTCACAGCCTAACTGGAGTCCATTTATCCCTTCTCTGGTATTAGGGTGCTGTGTCCCCTCCTCAATACCAGCTTGCCATACATGCAGTCATGCATTTTCATGTTTTCTCCCATGCCACTGTTTCTGCTTGAAGAGATACTCCACAAACATCTATTTAGCTACCTGACTGACCTTCCTCAAATTCCTCTTATTCTCTCTCCCTTTCTATGACACCTCTAAAGTACAAAAGGAAATGATGAAAAAAAATGTAAATATTTAACAGTAATTACAGTGATTACATTGCTGAGATCACAATCTGTTGCCTGGTCACTGAACAGGATACCTACACTAAAAAATGCCTGAGAGCCTAAGACATAGGAGCACATCATAGAAACACAGGAATTTCTCTACAGGAAGCGATGAAGGTATGTCAAGACCAGTACTGAGCTGAAGCTAATAAACCTGGATGGATCTGCTCTCACCTCATAATTCATTCCCTAATTCTGAGCAAGCAGACAGCCTTTCCATTGTGCTCCTCGGCCCCTCTCAGCCCACGGAGCATGGTGCAGGACCTGCCATGCCAGGTGCCTCTAAGCGGTGTCTGCACCTCTGGCACAACATAGCTCAGACAAGCAACACGGGCAACTGAAAGCTGACTGCACTGATCTCCTACTACTGCTTTTGTTTGTTCCTCCCTGTACTGCTATTCATTTGAGACCTCTCCCCAAGATACAAAGGGCAGAGACCAGCTTTTCTTCCAACACACTTAGTACAATGAGATCCCAATCCATGCACTGGGCTCACAGGTACGTTAAATCAAATGTATTACCCCAGAAATTCCTTCCAATTGGCTGCTTTGATTTCCAATTTGTTCTCAGGTTAAAACAAGTTTTCCTGCTTTTTGCAGCTACACAATACAACAGGGTCACATGAACTCTTTTACATTCTGTTTTGTATGGATTTTAAAGCATTTTAGAATAGCCACATTTTTCTTTATGCAATTAAGCACGGTACAATTCAGTACAGTCTGTGATGGGAAGGCTGTAGAGCAATGTGACATTAGAACACATTTTCGGTGACATGCTTTGAAAAGAAAAGTA